ATGAATTGACTGTATGTAGCAAAGACAAGCCAAACCAGTCACTCGTCGCAAATCCTGTTCCAGAGATATTGGCCAAAACATGCTGGAATGTCAAATTAAAAAAAAAAATTTTTTTTATTGCACTAAAACCAACGTTTATATGTCTATACATCATGTTATGCTGTTATTTACCCCATTTTCAATGTTAAAACAATAATTTTTAATGATTTGGTGATGGTTTCTGCCAGAGAAATGCCCGAAATCATAAATTTGTAGGCCGATTTCTCAAATATTGTTCTTTAAACAGCTGTATGTTTAAACGCTTGTAACATCTTAAGGAAATGTCGGATTTTAATTATTCTTTTTACCATTTTATAGCTCTCATTTTACTGTTTAACACTGTATTATTAACTAAAAATCAATTTTTGCGATGAGTGACTGGTTTGACTTGACTTTGCCACATATATATGCATGATGATGTCATATCACATCACATCCATATATGGGCATGAAGATGTCATATCATACCCATATATGGAAAAATCATGTGTCTTGTCTGTAACATTTGATATTGGGCTTTATGCATTTTTTTGTGCAAAATGTCAACTTCTGCGCAGAAAAACAATGGAGATTGGTGTGCAAACTCAAAACAGTTAATGTAGATTTTTAAGAGGAAGGACTAGTTAAAAACCCTAGTGGCATATCTAGACGTCTTGAAATGGGGGTGCTGATGAGGGGGCGCAAAGGAGAAGTTGGGGGGGGGGGCCCTCGAATATCAATTCAGAAAGATGGTATAATTTTTTAAAACATGGACTGTTAACCTATGAGTAGTACCTTATACTTGTAGTGGCATACATTGCGATGAAACATTTGTAGCATTTGTATATAATTATGCTAATGTCCAGGTTAGCTCAACATTAAGCACTCTCCACACGGTCAAGTTATATATGAATTTACTCTATGTAGCAAAGACAATCCAAACCAGTCACTCGTCGCAAATCCTGTTTCAGAGATTGCCCAAAACATGCTGGAATGTCAAATCAAAATCACCTTATTCAGAAAATAAGGTGATTTTAGGTGATTTTTAGCTACTTGACTGTGATTTTTAGAGGGGGTCTGGGGGAGACGAGTAATTTTTGAAGGGGCGTGCTTCCCCTGCACACCCCTCCCCCGATATGCTACTGAAAATCCCTTGTTGAAATATTGATGTCTAGTAGATTGTAATAATAGTATTATGTCAGTCTTTATGTAGTGCATCATTAAGTATGGATTCTGTATGGATTATTTAATGAAACACTTAAGGAGTAGTGCTGTTTTGAGTGTTCACCTTAGCAAAAGACGACTTCACTAAACAGGTCTACTGCCCTCTATACCCTTTTAGTAAATATTCACTGCAGACATGGTAAGATATTGTGTTAATATTCATTATATTTGATTATTTTTACTATAAATTAATGTTTATAAAATGTAACATACTTTTGAATATATAGTTATGTAATATACTTCAGTTGGAAAGAACATATTTTAGGTATAAACATTTTTATTCGATTAATGAAAGAGAGAATTTAATGCAGAGACTCATTTAAGTTCTCAAAAAGTATAAACTCAGATTGACAATTAATTTGTATGTCTACTGAACCAACCAATGGTGCTTTATTTTTGAATAACCGATATTAATCAATCAATACTCACATTTACTATACTATATTTTACAAATAAATGTTTCAGCCTAAATCTTAATTAGAATACATGTCTCCCTCTAAAGACCCCTCCAATTAATGATCACCTATTAAATACCACTTTTCTGTGGTCGTCCCAGATTAATAATTGTTCCAGTTAGAGACCATAGTTTCTACAAACCATGGAAGCCCTGTTCCAAAGGTGTTCGTTAATTGGAGGGCGACTTAGCTGTGTCTCTCAGTAACAATGGAAGTTTCCTTCTGAATAGACCAATATGAAACGAAATTTCCATTGTTATTTTTAAAAATCAAGTTGATCTTGTATTATTAATCCAGTTATTCTAGATTAACAGGTGTTGTCGTAAATATATCTTTGAAATAAATGTACGGGAAATGTATTACGATTTCTTTCTCTTTAATTTGTGTCATATCAAACGGTTTGTAGGCCTTCACTCACCGGAGGCTTAAAGACATTGGTTTGTTTTGGTTCTGAAAGGAATATCCGTGTCTTGTACAGAATTTGAACACAAGACCATTGGGTTGGAAGGCATGCAGATCACTACCCCTGTAGTTATTTTGTCTTAAGTGTTTACAGCGTCATGGACCAAATATATACAAAAGTCAGCATTATAGAGTAGCAAGCAAAATATTAAGCAATTATACACACTATAGGAATTAGAAATCAAAGGAGCCATTATTTCCTGACATTAATTGCCCGAAGTCTGCATTTTTGAAGAAAATAATGGCTTCTAAGGCTTCTATTTCATAGTGTACGAAATTACTTGGCTATAATTGCTTTATAAGTCAGTTGTAGCGTCCATCTCTATGGCCCCTTTAACTGCTGGTTGTAGAGCGGTTGCTTATAGGTATATTCATAAATCAAATTGCTGATTGCCGTGGCCGGTTGCTCCGTGATCACTGTCGGTGATAAAAAAAAAAGCAATGAAGAACCAACTCAAGATTAACCACGATGTTCAAAATCACATACAACCTTCTTGACATCAAGTTACCAGTTTAACCTACGAGACATGACATCCCAAGAAGTATAGTAAGATGAAAGCCAGTTGTATCTGTATATATTCAGACGGGTGGCGCCAGGATTTGCCCGACGGGTGGCCGAGGTCTCCGACGGGTGGGGGAGGGGGGGGGGCGGAGATACCCCGACGAAAGCAAACTGAGCGTGGTCGAGCTTTGATTAAAAGGTTTCGAAAGTGGTCCAGGGGCGAAGCCCTCGAAAATTTTGACATTTAAGGGTTTCAAAGGCTTATTTAATCGATTTTAGAGTCTACTAATATGTAGAAAATGCATATAATTTTTTTCTCCCGGTCCCCCCTCGCTGGCGCAACCCTGCATTCAGAGAGCTTAAGTTGCCGGGCAGGGGAGGGGAATGCATTTGTCAAAGCGAGACTAGCGAGACCAGTCTAGTACCTATAATGACGAAGCTTAACTTTGGGCATTTTCAGCTGTCTTGAACACATTTTTGAACGTCTTTAAAAAATTTAAAATGCGGCCAATTCTTTATTTTTCTTATTTGGCTGGTCCCTCGGGGGAGAGGTGAGGGGTGGTGTTGGTATTGGCCTGTCTAACCGAGGTTCAATTAACCGGGCTTCCAGTAGAGGTGTCCTTGACATGGTAATCTTGGTTCTCAATTCCATACGCCGTGGCAGCTGCACACTCACATGTGCGCTGTCGTAAATCCAGTAAATAGAGCGGTTCCATACAGGGAGGGGAACAGATGGAAGGTAGACCACACCTCAGTCCCACCAAGGGTGGCTGATAATTCAATTAATGTATGATTACGGCACCTCTAGATGATTGCCGGAAATGGCACTCTCACTTAAATTTGAATATAATTTTCTTTTTTCTCCATGTTGTTTTATAATTTTTGCAAAATTTAGGAAGTGGGGGCACTATTCGTCTATGCCATAGCGCATCATCTTTCGCACCAATTGTCACTTAAAAATGGCTTAATTGACGATTTAGGAAGGTGGTGGGGAACGCCGTACGACCTCAGTGGTCTTCATTTCGATGTGGTCTTTACTAGGAGGGGTCTTGGATTTCTGTATAATAAAATGTTTACTTATATTTCTCTCAGACATTTTAAAGAACATCACACTTAGACCATGGGAGACTTAGACAGAGGATACAACTTTTTGTTTAGATCGGAATAGACCAAACCCAGTATCGCTTCTATTTTAATCGTACGTGAAATTTACTATACGACACAAAATCACCATACGTAAGAAAATATAAATATCTTTTGTTTAAAAATCCATCAGTTTTATAAAACAGCTGAGTTTTCTTCCTCTCATTCACAAACTCCACAATAACTTGTTATGCTATGTAGTTTTAAAAAAATTGTTAATTTAAATCAGGGAACAGTGAATTGAGTAATTTCGTAAGTTCCTGATTTAAAGGGAAATCAAATTATTGTAATTGTTTTTGCATTTCAACACAAAAACTAATACCG